ATATATATATATATATATATATATATATATATATATATATACATATATATATATATATATATATATATATGTTTTCTTGGTTTTCACAGCAAATAAAAACACTTTGCATGTAACATCAAATGAAATAAAAAAAAACACACACCCCCAATTGACCTGACTCCATCCCATGAAAATGCAAGTAAATAAGTCAGTTAGTTAAAATGTTAACAATTAAACACCTAAATAAGCTTATCTTTATAAGTCTTTAATAAATCTTATTAAAAAATTTAATTATTGTTTTGTTACATATTTTCACTCTATATCTCCAAATGCATATACAATGTGTCTGATTTTCACCTATATCTATAGTCTTTGAGCATCCTTATATTTTATTATTGTCTTGATCGTTAATTAGATTTAAAATAAGCACTGCATGTGTTGAATACAGCATATACAATGGGAAATAGGAAAGATTAGAAATTATTTACCTGCCGAGAGAAAGTGTTGTATTATCTGAGTATTGTAATAATGTTATGCATCTATATTCAAAAGGTTCGCGGAGAGCAGAGGGAGACAGACCTCTCAGGCATGGGCGGTTCTAGAAAGGGGCCATATCATGTCCTGGCCCCCATTACAGCCCCTGTACCAAACACATAATACTCAAAGAAATTCTAATGATGATATGCGCTGGAACAGACATGGTTACTGATAGGTCCTTTAGGTCAATTTAATTGATTATCTTTACAAGTTTTGTTTTACTAATTATTTTGAATAAAATAAGGTGATAGCTTCAGTGGTATTGAGATAGGATCCCAGTTTAATCTGCTACATGTTTTTTTTTTTTCAAAACAAAACAAAAAAAATTAGAGCTGAATTTATTTAGTTAGTTTTTTTTTTTTTGTTATAATTCTGATTTTATAGAAAATGGTCATTTTGACTTAACTTAAGTCAAAAATATGTAAAATTCCTAAAGTATGAATTGATAGACCTAATATTCCAAATAATAGCCTTATTTGATCTTTTAGATATTCATATAGCTACAATTTTTTTGAGTTGCTTTTTTGCTATGGTAAGGGATATTTATTTTGATTTTAACAATAATCCAATGAACATTTTCAGTTGGAAGACATACAATTTTAATTAAACCTACCTGAATGGAAATTTCACTTCATGCAGCTATCTTAACATATTTGAATCCCATGCCCTTTTTTTTTTGTTTCATGCTTTTCTGTTCCCCAATGAAAAAACTGCGTTCTAATCATTTCCTAAAACATTGCTTACTTTTTCCATCCAAAGATTCACACTTTGGCAAACATCAATTTCCTTCAATTCTAGGGTCCTATGCCATATTGCTGACAGGTGGGGGATTCACTATTAGGCAATACTAGGCAGTTGCCTAGGGCCCCATAAAACT